AGTGTTGTGGAAGAATACATAGATGATTCTCTGAACATGAAATCGAAATTTTGAGAAAAATCATCAAGCAATCATCAAAATCGTTAATAATAGATCTGTCTTGAATTGTAACTTTTATATTTCAGACTACAAAGACATAAACTAATTCACTGTTAATATTTCTGTCGAAGAAATAAAAGTCTGTACCTGTTTGAAATTTTTTAATTTACTAAAAAAATGCCCATTTGCACCAACGTTAATAGTAAGCATTGCTTACCCAAGCCATTCTTAAAAGTAACTACTTCTTAAATTGTGCAGTTGTTGCACCGTCACAGCTTAAAATCTACTTAACTAAGTAATACTTAGTTGGGGAATTGTATAAAAGTTTCATTTCTATAGGCAACACTGACGTTTGTTGTTATTGGAACATCAAAAATTTTAGGTTAGTTTGTTGTGTGTATGACAGTCAATGACACAGCGCTTGTGTAGTTGTGATATTGTTGAATTAATTTTATGTGGTGTTGAATGTGTGTTTAAAAAATTGGTCTAAAGAGTTTAGACAGTACTTCCCTCGCTGTCGGAAACTTGACGACTGCATGCCTATTGTGTTTTTTTTTCTCATTACATTTTTGTAGTGGAAATTTAAAAAAAAATTGTGATGACGTCATCAACATTTTTGCAAGGACACGTATATCAGTTGGGATAGATGTAGTGTAATACTAAGAATAAAATTATTGTATTCCCAAATTTTCGGGAAAATGAATTGGGTGGTTTTGAATATTGATTTCTTATAATCAATAAAATACGAAACAATTTACTCACGTATACGGCGCCGGTGTGTAATATCTAGAGAGCGGATTTCTGTCGGGCTAGGCAAGGCCAAACTCGGTACGGCTCGTACGGGATGCGAATTCATTGCGGTTGCGGACTGCACTTCGTTTATTTGAGATTAGAATAACGCTGTTTCGTTGCACTCTGCTGTTAATTCCCGTTCTCATTTACTTAGCCGTTTGATTAATAAATCGTTAATTATATTTATGGAATTAGTACTGATTAAATACAGTGATTATCTATCACCCGCTACTGAGTCCCGGCGATCCAGCGCGTCCCCACCTATAATCGTGACGTAGCCCGACAAAAATCCGCTGTCTAGTAATATGAAAGGCAACTGAAAATCGTTTATGTACAAACATTCCTAATTTAAGATGACAAGCGTAACAGCATACGTGAGAGTCAAACAGAGAAACTGTAAACAAAACGACCATCGGTTTTATTGCTTCGACTTCCGCTTATTATATAAAACATTGGGTTTTATTTTAATTCTTGACGGTGAAATTCACAATTGGTTGATTATAAACATGTCTATTTCACATTCGCGGAACCAAGTGAGCGCATAAAACAAATGCAGGTCTGTAATGTTAAAGTCGATGTAAATAACCGTGCTACCCTTATGTTTCAACCGAGTTTTTCCTTTAACAAATTTTGTGTCTACCAAATTGGGTTGGTTGGGGTGTAATACTAATAATAAGTGTTGCCTTTAATTTAATCAATAAAATAAATTCACTTCATTTATTTTTTTGAACCACCTCTTAAGAAAATCTAAAAAATATGAATGGAATGATAAATCACAAGTACAAACTCATCATATTTTTTGCATTTTAGATAGGATTTATTCAGCAAAATTTAAGGGTGACGTCATCAATTTTTTTAGGAGGGATGAACAAATACATTTTGAACAAAAGTTTACCATGCTTATAATAACTTTAAAATATTCCCAAGATTTCAAAGCATTCGGTTTTGTAATTCCTGATTAAATCGATAAAATAAATTCACGCCTTCATTAATTTTTTTGAGTCACCCCGCATTTGTAAATCCAAAAATATGAATGGAATGATAAATCACAAGTACAGACTCATCATATTTTGTACATTTTAGATACGATTTATTCGGCAAACTTTTGAACTGACGTCATCAGTTTTTTGTAGAAGATAACCAAATATATTTTGACTGAAAATTTATTATGCTCTTTATAACCTTAAAACATCTGCAAGATTTCAAAGCATTCGGTTTTGTAGTTCCTGATTAAATCAATAAAATAAATTTACGCATTCATTAATTTTTTTGTCACCCTGTATATGCAAATCGAAAAAATTTGAATGGAATGATAAATCACAAGAAGAGACTCACCATATTTTGTACATTTTAGATAGGATTTATTCAGCAAAATTTTGTGGTGACGTCATAAATTTTTTAGGGGGGACGACCAAATACATTTTGATCAAAAATTTACCATGCTTATGATAATTTTAAAATATCTTCAAGATTTCGAAGCATTAGGTTTTGTAGTTCCTGAGTAAATCAGTAAAGTAAATTTACGCTTTCATTTATTTTCTTGAATCACCCTGTATATGCACATCCAAAAAATATGAATGGAGTGATAGATCACAAGTACAGACTGATCATATTTTGTACATTTTAGATATGATTTATTCAGCAAATTTTCGAGCTGACGTCATCAAGTTTTTGGAGGGGATAAGCAAATATATTTTGACTAAACATTTATTATGCTCTTTATAACCTTAAAACATCTGCAAGATGTCAGAGCATCCCGTTTTGTAGTTCCTGATTAAATCAATAAAATATATTTACGCATTCATTAATTTTTTTGAGTCACTCTGTATATGCAAATCCAAAAAATATGAATGGAGTGATAAATGACAAGTACAGGCTCATCATATTTTGTACATTTTAGATATGATTTATTCGGCAAACTTTCGAGCTGACGTCATCAAGTTTTTGGAGGGGATAAGCAAATATCTTTTGACTAAACATTTATTATGCTCTTTATGACCTTAAAACATCTGCAAGATTTCAGAGCATTCGGTTTTGTAGTTCCTGATTAAATCAATAAAATATATTTACGCATTCATTAATTTTTTTGAGTCACCATGTATATGCAAATCCAAAAAATATGAATGGAGTGATAGATCACAAGTACAGACTCATCATATTTTGTACGGTTTAGATATGATTTATTCGGCAAATTTTTGAGGTGACGTCATCAAGTTTTTGGAGGGCATAACCAAATATATTTTGACTAAAGATTTATGATGGTCTTTATAGCCTTAAAACATCTGCAACATTTCAAAGCATTCGGGTTAGCAGATTCAAAATTAAATTTCAAAATGTTGTTTTATAATTTTGATTTTTTTTCCAAAAATCTGGACGTTTCGGGTGAAAACTCAATTCGGAATTGTAAACTACATGTATAAGACTATGTTATTTTATACAATTTAAAACCCATTTACTAATGTACAATTTTGAAGTGACGTCATCGCATTAGTGGTGGGGATGATTAGACAAATTTTGGTTAGCGTTTTACCATCTACATGATATTCTTAATATAAGTACAAAATTTCACAATAATCGGTCGAGTACTTTCGGAGATTATCTGTCTAATAAAAATCCGGGACGGCAGACGGACAGACGGACAGACGGACAGACAGACGGAAATGGGAGACCTATTTCTTCGTCTTCTAGGGGTCATGAAAGTTCGAGAAAACGTAAAAGTAGAGAGTCGGCCGACGGACTCGATTACAATACTTCCTTTGCTTACGCTCGGGAAGTAAAAATGGATGTGTTCGACGCTTACGAGGATGACTTAGAAGTCATTGAAATTGTTGAGATGGGAATTCCACGGCAGATGTACACTAGAGCTGATCATTTCTATGGTTTACCAGAGCTTCAATTTTTCCAAAGATTTCGACTAACAAAACCAACAGTTTTACATTTATTAACGTTAATTGAAGAACACTTGGAATTTAATGTGTAAACATATTATGATTTAATATTACAGAAATCAGGCGGTGTCACCTATAAATCAGCTGCTTACTACATTACGATTCTTTGCAAGCGGGGGCCATTTGAGTACAGTAGCGGACTATATGGGAATGCACATCTCAACTGTGTCGAGAATAATTAGACGTGTATCGGACGCTATAGCAAGGCTTTACCACCGTTTTATTAAGATGCCCCAAACTCTCATGGAGCGAAGGCTTATTCAAAATGGTTTTTTTGACATCGCGAGATTCCCTAGAGTGATTGGGGCCATTGATTGCACTCATATCAAAATTGAATCACCAGGTAAAGATTTAAAAAACCAAAAACACATTCTTTTCATTGGAACGTTTTTAAGGTGGAGAAAATGCTGAAGTTTTTCGCAATCGGAAAGATTATTTTTCAATTAACCTTCAAGCCATGTGTAATGCGAATATGGAGTTTACAAACGTAGTTGCTCGGTGGCCTGGTTCTACTCATGATATGACCATTTTCAATAACTCGATTTTACGAGCAAATTTTGAGAATGGAGATTATCCGAATTGTATAATATTGGGTAAGTTTCAGTTTTTAATATGTGTAAAAATACATTGCATTTGTTTTCAGGTGATGGTGGCTACTGGCTATGGTGTAAGACACTATTTTTTTACACCATCATTATTAAATCCACACACTCAAGAAGAGCAGTTGTATAATGAAGCCCATATTCGTACAAGAAATGTCATCGAAAGAACTTTTGGTGTCTGCAAACGAAGATTTCCTGTGCTAGCATATGGATGTCGATTAAAAAAAGAAACTGTTTTGAGTTTTGAGTATTATAATTGCGTGTGCAGTCCTGCATAATATAGCTCGACAAATGGGTGAAGATGAACCTCCTCTCCCAGCTGACATTAACCAGCATGAACTGGAGCGACTTATTGAAGATGGTCAAATACCAGAGGTCAATGTTATTGACAACCAAAGGAGGGGCAGTGAAATTAGATGAAATTTTATAACAAATTTTTTTAGAAATTTATAAATTTAACAAATAAATGTTTTATTAATATTTTATTTTATATTTTATTGTTTTTCCGTATTGTCACGACTGAGGTGTTCTAAGGGGTTGGTAGAGCGGGGTAAAAAAGCCCAGTTCGTGAGTTTACGTTATTTTCTATTAATAATTTAAATACAATAAAACTACTTACTGTTTTGTTGGGAGAAACATGTCACAGGTTCTTTTTCTTTTTCTTGCCACAACCCAACTGCCGTCCACCCGCTCTTGTCAACCCCACGAAGCCCTTGCAGTGTCAGCAACTATCCCTACTGTCGGTATGTGTCGACACTCCATGACCTCGATGGAATCATATCGCGAGCAGGGTGTTTGGCAATCCCATCGTAACTAGGTTACATATTTATGTGACTGTGACAGTATTATCCTGTTTCAATTTTCTCAGGTGCTCCTTTTTTATTTCAATATCTAGTTCTAAAATTTGCTTTCGAAGCAAAAATTCAACTTGCTTTGTTTCTTTGTCATGTTTTTGTCCTTTGAGTTGTGCCTCAACTAACTCCATTTTCTTTGTAGCTAGTTCGTCGTAAGCTTTCGACAAATGGCTGGAATGTAGTGCTGTTATTGTTGGCCTCCTCCTATTAATGACTGTTTGTAACTCTTTTGATTTCTTTTTTTTCAGGTGTTCAACTTTATAATCACCCCAGTCAGCTTTAAACTGCAATTAATTAATATATATATATATATATATATATATACATGTATGACGGATGATACGAAGCCCGGTATGTAATGCAGGCTCTCAGAAGCCCGGGCTTTCTACATGCAATACCGATCTATAAGTCGAATATATCGCTTTATTGCAAAATGTTTAGTGGGAGCAACTTGCGAGGGGTAGAAATTATTTACATACACCAAAAATCTTACTTTGCTGTTTTAATGAAGCCATTGATATACAACATGAAATGCGAAGCCCGGCTGTATAAAATGCAGATATTTCACATGTGAAATGCAACCATGCTGCGTTGCCATTGTGCTATTGTTTCTCAGCCTTCTGATGAGATCATTTTAATTCTTGTGATCGAAGTGCACGTGCAAGATACTAGCATGGACCGCTCTAAGTTTTTGGTTAGTTTGGCTACTCAAAACAAAATTGGTAAGTATCTTGCAATATTTAAGTAGTTGGGATAGTAAAAGCAATCTGCATTAGATGTTAATGTGTTTTTTGAGAGAAAATGAAAAATTTAAATTTGTTTAAATAAATTAAACAAATTTTTCATAATTTTTCTCTTCCACATTTTTGAAAACTAAAAAGTTAGCAACTTTTCTGTAGCTTAACTCATCACGCATTTATTCTTATATTCTAAAATTTAGCTACAACCCTCCATAAACTGAGCACTTTGTACAATACTTTACTTTTGTAGTGCTATAATTTGTCCCTTCAATTAAAAAGCCACCATTGCGTATGTTGTACAAAACAAAACACGTTACAAAGTCAATTTCACTTCAGTCAGCACGGCATTCATGTTTTAATGTCAGTGTGTGAAAGCTGTTTAGTTAACATTGGTTTGACAACGAAATGTTGGTGTTTTTTTTTAAACGGCATGGCCTGTACATTAATTCGGACAAACTATTAATTTTACACCTACTTATTAAAACTCACAAATTGTATTATTACTCCATTATATTATTCTAAAATTTAAAGGGTATGTTAGTGAAGGAGTTGAGGTTGCCGAAATAGAATCGAAAGTTTTTGAAGATGACGACTTCGAAAATGAACTGTCATTTGTTTCTGAGTCTGAGCCTTTTCAAGACTCAGGATCAGAATATGTTTTATCTGAATCTATTGACTCCGACATGTCAGAAGATATTCCTGTAATGAAGGTATAGTTTCTTTTAAATTAAATCCAATTTAATTTTTTTAAACAACTTTTAGAATTTCACCGTAAAACGTAAACAGATAAGAAAATCATCCGACCAAAGTACGCCCCTTGAAGACATTTTATTAGTTAAGGTATTAAGAACATTAATTTGAAGTTCAAGCGACTTAACTTTTCATAAAACTTTTTAGGACTCAACTCTTCCCGAATCATCAGAATCAAAGCAACTCAGCATTTTACAAAATTTTGACGAGTCACAACAAAAACAAGAAAATAAAATTGAAAATATACAAAATAAAGAAACTAAAAGTTCACAAGAGGAAACACAGAAAAATAAAACAGTAGAAGAAGAATGGATGATAGATGCAGATGCAGACCAAAATACTATAGTGAGTGTGGTTCATCAGGGAGAATACTCTAAAAAACCATCTGCAAGAGAACGGCCTACAATTTGTCCTATTTGCTATAGAGATGTACCTACACATTTTACAAGACATTTATTTAGACATCATGATAATAATGAACACGTGATAAAAATTAAAAGTAAACCTCCTAAATGTAAAGAACGTTTAGCTTTGATTGCAGCGTTACGAAAACAAGGTTATTTTTATTTGAAAACGGAAAAGAATATTTCAAATCCTGTGAGAAGTTCCAAGAAAACTGATGTGCAATATTTTGTATGTACTTACTGTTTGGGACAATATACAAAAAAACTTCTTTATAAACATGTTAAAATATGCAAACAGAAACCTGCCAGCGAAACAAATCCTGGGAAAAACTGCTTAAACAAGAGTCAAAGTTTTTTGGCCACATTGACTTCAAAGAATCAAAACTTTTTACAATCGGCGCGTATAAAAGAAGAAGTTTTTAGCATAATGAGAGCTGACGAAATCAGTTATACTGCCAAAAGTGACACATTGATTTGTTTGTATGGGGAAGCCCTTTTGTGCAAACATAAAAGACAACAAATTGCAACAGTAATTTCTAACAAAATGCGAGAAATGGGTAGATTACTAATAGTGTTAAAAAGGATTAGTAATTCAGTTGATGTCTTATTTGATGCATTGAAACCAGAAAATTTTCAAGATTTAATATGTGCTACTAAAGAAATTAGTGGTTATGATCCTTTAAATAAATGCTATAAATCACCGTCTTTGGCTTTACATATGGGAACCAATTTAAAAACTGTTTGTGATATTGCACTTAAGTTGGTGATAGAAAACAGAAAATTACCAAAAATTAATTGGGAAAACAGAGATAAAAAGAAACAAGAAATTAAAGACTTACAGAAATTAATAAAAGGACATTGGTGTAATGAAGTTTCGAGCTTCGCTCTCAAAATTTTAAAAGAGAGGCAATGGGAAAAACCAAAGGCTCTTCCTCTTACAAGCGACATACAAGCTTTTCAAACACATGTTAGCAACTTGGCAAATCAAGCATATGAAGAATTGAAAAACAATTCAAATTTAAGGACCAACTATAGGACTTTAACGGAATGTGTTTTAGCATTAACTGTAATGTTCAACAGAAGGCGGGTTGGTGATGTGCAGTATTTAAGGATGGATACATACAACAAAAATGAATATACAATAAATGAAGAAGCATTTACTGAATCACTAACAAATGTTGAAAAACTTCTCAGTCAAAAATTTAAAAGAGTGGTTACCGGTGGTAAAGGTTCAAAACCAATACCAATTTTGTTTCCTCCACAAATTCAGAAATATATAAAATTAATACTAGAAATCAGAGAACATTCAAATACAGGGTGTCTCAGAAATAAGTACATTAATTTTAATCAGTTATAGAGCTCATTGAACTCAACAACTTTTCTTAGTAGAGTTTTGTCAAGAACTTTTTAATTATCAAGTTAAAAATTGTTAAAGTTATACCCCAATTAAGGTTACCCGCCCATGCATCCTCAGTTACCCATGGACACTAATAGTTATTATAATTAATAATTTATGGTCAAAAACAGTTACTAGGATACATATTTTCCTAATCTTGTCAATGTGACAAACATTTAGAGAGAATTGAAAATCCTGCTCCCTAATGGCGTACGGAATTTCAACAGCCCAAATGTGGGTGTTGAACACCTTCCCTCGTGTAACCGACCTCATCAGTTGATGGTATAAGAGATACAAAATTTGCTTGTTCGTTTATTTTTCTATTAACCCGCTCACAAAAGTTTTGCCTACGTGGTAAGTCTGTTAGTTTCAATAACTGAACTTTCTGGTCCTGAAAGGGGTACATTTGTTCTCTGAGTATCCTCCAAATACTACTCTCCGATACATCACACTAGACAGTGATACGTGCTAGTGCCCGGTCGAGCTTCGACACTCTTCAAAACAGCCTCTTCAATATTAGCAATTCTATTACTACGTAACTTACCCCGATCCTGAGATGCAGGTTTAAAAGATCCGTACTCTCGAAAATGCTGCAACGTTCTTAAAACTGCGCACATTTGGCAGACGATTTGGGAGGTTTTCTGAAAAAATTCCTTGGGCGCGAGTGCCGTTTCCCCGAGCTTCACCGTACGTTAAAACGATATCGGTGCATTCCAGATTTGAAAACAAAGCCATTTCAACACATTTCGTCTATAAATTAGAAGTCTGTGCCAAACAAACTTTAAAGAGACAACGTTTAATAAAAACATTGACATAAAAATGATTGTCAGTGCCAAAACGGTTGCTACCGTACCTTCTTCATTGTTGTAGTGTTGCTATTATTTAAGTTATTATTTAAGGTGAACATAGACGGCTCGTGAATATATGGGTGGGAAAATTCGAAATTCGACTTGAGTTTTCGAAAAAATGCTAGATAAAAAAGTTGTTCCGTTTCACGGGTTCTGCTACTGGTTAAAATTAATGTACTTATTTCTGAGACACCCTGTATAGTACCAAAATCAAATCCATATCTGTTTGCCAATCCAGGCTCTGAAAACAAATGGATGGCAGGGTATCACGTTATTAGAAAATTAGCAACCGGCTGTGGTGCTACAAACCCATCTCTTTTAAGTTCCACAAGATTCAGAAAACATATAGCAACCACATTGCAGCTCATGACAATGGACGAAAACGAAATGGAACAAATAGCCACCTTCATGGGGCATACAAAAAAAACCCACACCGAATTTTACAGGTATTTTTTCAATTATTTTAAAAAAAGGCACAGTGAAAGCATTTTCCTCTCTTAAAAAATTATAGCTAAATACTTAGATAAGGACCTAAGTATGCAGGTATTGCAGGTGTGCCAAACTGATTTACAATGTCAAAAAAGAGTGTTCTGTGACCCATTTTAAGAGAGGTCTTTATAAGGGTTTTTTACGCAGCTGGTTTGTTGGAAGATTTCACTTTGAGTAAAATCTTCTGATGAACCAGTTGCCTGAAAAACTTTATATGAAGTTGCTTTTTTCAGGTTTTCTCTACATAAATAATTGATTTTAAAGTGAGACTAAAAATATTGGTTAGGAGTATTATTTATTTAGGGACGCCTGAAACAAAATATACAAAAAACGTGTGGTCATCGAAATCATACTCTAAATTATAATTTTCTTTTGCACAGAAGGGACTGAAATTAATAACACCTTTAGTGGGTTTGCCAAAACACTGAAACTTCCTTTTATTTTTAAGAAAATAAATACTATTTTTTAACAGGTTACCCCAAGATATTTTTCAAACTGCAAAGGTGGCCAAAGTATTAATGTTGTTAGAAAAAGGCAGAGGAAGACAATTTGTAGGAAAAAGCCTCGATGAAATAGAAATAGACAACGATATGTATTTAAGTTCTGACGACGAAGACTGTTTTCATAATACAGCTAGTTTTGAAAATGTTGAAAGTGAAGAATTTTCACAGGTTGGGCTGGAAAATGCAGAATGCACGGAGAGCACTTCTCAACTTAATGCTGAACCAGGTCCTTCAAGCATGGAACCTGCAGTTAAAAAAGGTGCCTAATTATTCAGTTAAGATCCATAATAAGTTGTTACGGAGTATTAATTTTAGGAGGGAAGAAAATAAAACCATGTGGCCGCGTTCGTTGGACAGAAACTGAAAAGAAAATTGTTACAGATTACTTCAAGCTGCATATTCAAAAGAAAATCACACCAAAAAAACATGAATGTGATGAACTGCTAGCTAAGCATGCTGATGTTTTTGTAAACAAGGATTGGGTGCGCATTAAAACTTTTGTGTACAATGTGTTTAGACAAAAGTAAAAATCTAGTTCTTTAATAAAACGTATTTTCATTTTTGTTTCTAATTTGATTTTTGCAAGGGGTCAGCGGCTTTAAAATACTTTAATGCCGCTCATGTGTGGAGTTAAAATAAAAAGCTGTCAAATTATAATTATTATTACTAATATTTGCATTTTGAAAATTACAAGCACTAGAAAAAGCCGAGTCCTATACAGCATCAGTTGTACTTATAGTCGAATTAACAGTATTGACACAATTCATTCAAAATTCCTGGGAAGGTTCCTCGGAAGGTTTTTATAGCAGCCGCACTTGCAATACTCTTTGTTGTTGATAATTTCTTTCTTATTGGCTAAAGAGTCTTCAATATAGCCTTCAGCTACACTGCTGGACTTCCAACCTCCATGCCTTTTTAAGCATGTAAGATTGGCTCCACTATCCACAAGCAGTGTAGCTGAAGTGCGCCGAAGACAGCGCCCTGTGTACTCTTTGTAATGCGGTAATTTCAGATAAGATGCAACATCCTTGGGTACTGTGAATACCCATTACAGCACGATGACATTTTCCTTTGCAATATTTTAAGAAAAAACGTCGTTCCGGAATATTTTCTAGTCTCAGCGAAACATATTTTCTACAGATGCTTATGTAAGGTTCTCCAATTACTGTAAACGATCGTTTCTTATGCGTTTTTGAATCAGGAATGTTGATCAAAAGCAGAGATCCTAGATCCTGGACATTGCTGGTTCCCATTTTTATCATTTCGTCACAACGGCAAGCAGCCGCTATTCCAATCATCAAAATTACCTAAACATGAATATTATCTAGTTTACTTATATCGAAATACTGAAAACTAACCTTCATTGCCAAATATTCGTCATCCGGAGCTTCATTCAAGAACTTTTCAAATTCACCTTCCACGCAAATACTGCAATAAAACAATTTCCGAATAATTTTCAGCGTTTTTTTTCTTGCACCATTTAATAAATTTGCTGTATATGGCTTCATATAATGCACTTGATTTTGTTGGGAGTAAATTGTTGACAGCTTCTGCTGCAGCCTGAACAATTTCAAAAGGTCTGCTTACTTCTTCTGCCATTTTTTAGGCTCTACCTGCTACAAAAATAATACTGTAATATCTAAAATGATTATAATTATAGAGAAATACTTACCAATATTCGTAAAAACACGTAAAAAATTGCGAAAAATTGGAATCTTTTTTATATTGACAATGATGTTACAGCAACTGGCCACAGCAAACTAACAAATCGCAAGCGTAAACGTAATTTTCAGGGGCAAATTCGGTCTTAAAGCAAATTTGGGGCTCGTTTGGAGAAAAAATGGCATATTTTATTCGGAGCTAAACATTTTTTTTTGCTCGTCTCTCATTGCTGAACTCACTACGTTCGTCTGGCAAACCTACAAACTCGCCAGAAAAAATAATGTTTTAGCTCCTCATAAAATAATATACTATTTATTATTCAGAGAAAACAGCAATTATTATTCGGTCTATGTTTTTTTATTGAGAAACATTAAAATAAAAAACTGCAATCAGTTGGTCTGAATCATTTAAGCGTTTATTGTTACAACTCCAGAGCAACCATTTTAGTTCCAGAAATGAAATAATGTGTATAGCTCAGCTATTCTAATACAGAATAAATTGACATAACTCTAGATTTTTTTTTGCAATAAAAAACAAATGGATGTGGATTTTTTTGTATTTTTGAAAGTAGATGCTAACGTTTTGGAAAGACTAACTTTAAAATTCTAAAAAAATGGTTTAATTACTTACAACCACTTTAAAATAGTAAAATTTGTTTTTACTTTGGTTTTGGAAAATGTGGTGAAGAACGTAAACTTGTGCTGAAAACAGCTGTTGCAATTGAGAAAAAAAATGTTTGTACACAACTGAAAATGCTGTTTTGAAGCAAAGAAAAGAAATGTTTCAGTTTTGAAAACAATTGTCCTATTGATAAAAGAATTGTTTCAGTAGTATAAAATATTGACGTATTTGTGAAAAAGGTTCTTAAAAGAATTGGTAGTTTTAAAATGTACTGCTAAAGTTTCTAAAAGAATTAACAAAAAGGAATTGCCACAGTTTTACAACTGATAAAATTCGACAAAGAACTGGCAGTTTAAAAAAATGGTGCAGTACCAAAAAGACCATAAATAATTTATTTATTAAAGAAAATATAACTAATTCAATAGGTATTTTGTTTTTAATTTAACAAAATCAATGTAGATAAATAACTTCACTTCATAGGTATTTAGTTATATGTACAAAGTTCAAAATTGGGTACCTAGCGCAACCAAAGTAATTCTTCCCTAAGCACTCCCAATCAGACATAAACAGTGTTGACAAATTTAGGGCTTTGCATAATTCGCAGCAAATAGTTGGTTCTTATAATCCGCCATGTCGCTGCACTTTGTATATTTTATATACAGAAAAAAAACTGGGACGCCCCCTACAGAAAGATGGTGTGAACTATACCCCGTGTATTTGCAGATACAAGGCATCATTACAGAGCCCGCATTAATTCTACATTTTTGTTAATACCAACTTAACGGTAAAAACTACGACGATATACGCGTGATTTTTACGAAGCCCACTTCAACTAGGATCTTTCCAGCATATTATATTTTATCAATACCAACCCAACCACAAGAAATAAATTGTAATACACATGATTTTTACGAAGCCCGGTTTCGGGCTTCGTAAGTCGGTGTCGGGTTTAGTATAAGCTGTGGAATATAGCATTGTGGGCTTCGTAATGGACGATTACATGTCTATATATATATATACGTCAATAATAACTTTTGGCCTCGCGCCAGATTTAGGCAACAAGTAATGGGAGAATATGAAAACCACATCCTAGCCTCAAACCTGTCATATCAGTGTTCAAATTTGTATTTATGGTTGCATCATTTACAACAAGCGAATGCTTGACACGTTTTAAAGTAGGTAAATATTTGGAGTTATAGTTTAAACTGTTTTCGAGTAAAAGAAAGAAAAAGTGGTATGAATCAGTTTATTCGGAAATAATTTTTTGGAATTAAAACAGCCACATAGAGGCTGAAGAAATTAAGATAATCAAAGAGAAAAGAAAACAACTTAAAACTAGGAAAGCTTACTTCGTAGTAAGTGCAATTATATTCTATGAACATTTAATACTACTATAAAACACCAAAGTAGATTATTCATATTTATTATGAAGTTAGAGATTGCAATTATTAACAAAGTTGACAACGTATGGATAAAGTTAAATATATATCTTTGAGTCAAAAGAGGTGTCTGCATAATTTGTTACAGTGTGTTTGCAGGTATATTTGTACAATGCAGCAGCTGCTGCATTCACTATCCAAATGTAATGTATAAATAATGATTTGTCTGGTGTATGGTGCAGTCTTAAAATTAGGTATTTTTACTATATTTCAATTGGATAAATATTTTTACACATATTTGTAAATTCTCGTGCTTTGCCAGTTTTAGACGTTGGAATTTTAATTATTAGCGTATCGTTTTTGTCTTGAATGCCGTCATTATTTTTCAATTTATCCATTCCACATGCTCCTACAACTTCTAATAAAAAATAAACCTAAAACATAATGATTTATAGACAATGTGATTGACCTTGTTTGAGATCACCTTTAACATCGGGTACATTTAATCACGGGCTTCTGTTAAAAATTTTGGTAAGTCTTCTCTTGCAAATATATTTGATTTCTTGGCAATGTAACCTATATTTTTTGCTTGAAAACTTGGTGTACTTAGATATATCTATGCTGTTTTTTATTAACAGAGTTGACTTTAACTACGACTATGCAGCCCAAAGTGTTAAAGATTTCACAGAATTTGCTTTTTCAGCGAAATACTCGTATGCAATGAGGTGTTCTCCATATATTTTGCATGGTTGTTTCTGCGCAAAAAAAAAATTCATACCGCTTTTCATAAACTGTGGCTGAGTTTTTAGGTAATAAATTTGATATATTATCTGCCAGTTTTTGCAAGTTCGGTCGAATGCATGTAAACTGCTTGTTATTATTGCTATCCATCTCTATTTTGCAATTGCTACAGATCTTTCTGCAAGCAAAAATATTAAAAGTGCCGAAAAATAAGAGGTATGCTTCATACTTTCATTTAAAATGGGCATGTAAGCTAATAATCTGTTCTGTAATAATAATAAAAGCTTATTATAGGTTATGTAGATACAAGAAAATTGTTCAAATTCTTCCATTCCGCATACTCCTACAACTTCGAATAAAAAATATACCTAAAACATTATGTTTTATAGACAATGTGATTGACCTTCTTTGAGATTACCTTTGACATTAGGTACATTAATCACGGGCCTCCGTTAAAAATTTTCGTAAGTTTTCTCTTGTAAATATATTTGATTTCTGGGAAACATAACCTATATTTTTTGCTTGAGAACTTGGTGTACTTAGATTATATCTATGCTGTTTTATATTAACAGAGTTGACTTTAACAACGACTATGTAGCCCAAAATGTTGATTTCACAGAATTTTCTTTTTCAGCGAAATACTCGTATGCAAAATGAGATATTCTCCATATAATGTTTTCCATGGTTGTTTCTGCACCGAACAAGAACTTATTACAGGTTATGTGGATACACATTGTTCGCTGCCATAGAATGTCGCTGCACTTCAAGAAATCCGCTGTTGCCATGCAAGGTTGCGACGTTGCGAGATTACGCGCAAATTTAGTTAATAAATTGTATTTATAAAATTAATAAACCGGATGTCTTTCTAATAACTAATAAAAAGGGTTAACAAAGAGTATAGAATTACTGCTACATGAATTTCACTGGCTTGTGTTGAAATTTCGGGTTTCCAATTTTAAATTTATTAATCTAGTACTTCGTTCCAAAAACAAAATTGTGCCCGGAATGATGGGTTAATTAGCTGTTTTCACATATACGAAGCGCACGAGTCCGAAAGTTACCTAACATGCAATTATGAGGCTAAATGTTGCTATGGATGAAAACTATTATTTGAATTAAAGTAACTTTTGGCATCACAGTCTTTAGATCTTTTTTCATTGGTATTTTACACTTAACAACATCATTATGAATTTATTTCTTAGATTTATTTCTCAATCCACCAATATTTGTCTTAACCTCATAGAAAATGTTTCGTCTTATGGAAAAAATCTGAATCTTTACACTTAGGGGTGTGCCTGAATATATAGCACCGAATATTGCCTCACATGAATTTTACTGCCTCGATTTGACCAAATCTTGGGTTTCCGATTTTAGATTTAATCATGTACCTAGTACTTTAAGATATGTTAGCACATGAGTCCGAAATTATGAGGCCAAAAGTTTCTATGGATGAAAGCCATTATTTGATTTAAAGTAACTTTTGGCATCACATTCTTTAGATTTTTTTAATAGTTACTTCACAATTAATAACAAAATTATGACTTTTTCTTTTAGGTTTATTTCTCTTATCTGTTATTAAAATAACTGCTATTAAGTTAATTTTAGCCTGGGTTGTAAGTTTGAAAGTTGTTTTCTACGATTCTGTGAGGCCAAAGTCTACAAAAGATGAAAATAATTTTAGGCCAGATAGTTCAACACTCAGCCAATTATTTATTTTTATTTATACTATTTTCGTGTGGTATAGCAAGAATAATGGTCAAAAATCAAGTATTTTAGGATCAAAAAACGGCAGATCAAATTCCTGATAATATTAACACTAATAAGTCTAAAAATTTAACCAAATATTGACTTTTTTAAAGTGTTATAAGTTTACTGACGAGGTGGCTGAGAAAGGGGATGAACCCTGAAACTGGTATCACCAAAATAGTATAAATAAAAATAAATAATTGGTTGATTGCAAAACTAACTAACCCAACTTTGTACCCGCGCTAATATGGAAACACACATATCAAAATAATTAGCTCATTTATAGCAACTTTCGAACTCTCGTATTTTATATTTGTCTAAGTAGCAAGTACTTAAAAAATTTAAATTATCACTTTAACTTTGAATAAAAAAATATTTTTATGAATGCGTCTACAGATTCTTCTACCATTCACAGTCTAATTTTGTACTAACTTCATACAAAATGTTTCGTATTATGGAAAAAATCTGAATCTTTACACTTGGGGGTGTGCCTGAATATATAGCACCGAATATTGATTCACATGAATTTTACAGCCTCGATTTGACCAAATTTTGGGTTTCCGATTTTAGATTCATTCATGTACCTTGTACTTTAATGTATGTTAGCACATGAGTCCGAAAGTTATTCGTCATGTAATTATGAGGCCAAAAGTTTCTATGGATGAAAGCCATTATTTGATTTAAAGTAACTTTTGGCATCACAATCTTTAGATTTTTTTAATAGTTACTTCATAATTAATAACACAATTATGACTTTTTCTTGTAGGTTTATTTCTCTTATTTGTTATTAAAATAACTGCTATTAAGTTAATTTTAGCTTGGGTTGTATGTTTGAAAGTTGTTCTCTACGATTCTGTGAGGCCAAAGTCTACAAAAGATGAAAATAATTTTAGGTTAGATAGTTCAACATTCAGCCAATTATTTATTTTTATTTATAATATTTTCGTGTGGTATAGCAAGAATAATGGTCAAAAATCAAGTATTTTAGGATCAAAAAACGGCAGATCAAATTCCTGATAATATTAACACTAATAAGTCTAAAAATTTAACCAAATATTGACTTTTTAAAGTGTTATAGGTTTACTGACGAGGTGGCTGAGGAAGGGGATGAACCCTGAAACTGGTATCACCAAAATAGTATAAATAAAAATAAATAATTGGTTGATTGTAGAACTACTTAACCCAACTTTATACCCGCGCTAATATGGAAACACACATATCAAAATAATTAGCCCATTTATAGCAACTTTCGAACTCTCGTATTTTATTTTTGTCTAAGTAGGAAGTACTTAAAAAATTTAAATTATCACTTTAACTTTGAATAAAAAAATATTTTTATGAATGCGTCTACAGATTCTTCTACCATTCACAGTCTAATTTTGTACTAACTTCATACAAAATGTTTCGTATTATGGAAAAAATCTGAATATTTACACTTGGGGGTGTGCCTGAATATATAACACCGAATATTGATTCACATGAATTTTACTGCCTGGATTTGACCAAATTTTGGGTTTCCCATTTTAGATTTATTCATGTACCTTATACTTTAATGTATGTTAGCACATGAGTCCGAAAGTCATTCGTCATGTAATTATGAGGCCAAAAGTTTCTATGGATGAAAGCCATTATTTGATTTAAAGTAACTTTTGGCATCACAATCTTTAGATTTTTTTAATAGTTACTTCACAATTAATAATACAATTATGACTTTTTCTTGTAGGTTTATTTCTCTTATTTGTTATTAAAATAACTGCTGTTAAGTTAATTTTAGCTTGGGTTGTAAGTTTGAAAGTTGTTTTCTACGATTCTGTGAGGCCAAAGTCTACAAAAGATGAAAATAATTTTAGGTTAGATAGTTCAACACTCTGCCAATTATTTATTTTTATTTATACTATTTTCGTGTGGTATAGCAAGAATAATGGTCAACAATCAAGTATTTTAGGCTCAAAAAACGGCAGATCAAATTCCTGATAATATTAACACTAATAAGTCTAAAAATTTAACCAAATATTGACTTTTTTAAAGTGTCATAGGTTTACTGACGAGGTGGCTGAGGAAGGGGATGAACCCTGAAACTGGTATCACCAAAACAGTATAAATAAAAATAAATAATTAGTTGATTGCAGAACTAACTAACCCAATTTTATACCCACGCTAATATGGAAACAAACATATCAAAATAATTGGCTCATTAATAGCAACTTTGGACCTGTCGTCCTTTATATTTGGCTAAGTAGCAAGTATTTAAAAAATGTAAATTATCACTTTAACTTTGAATAAAAAATATTTTTATGAATGCGTCTACAGATACTTCTACCATCCACAGTCTAATTTTGTTTTAACTTCATACAAAATGTTTCGTATTATGGAAAAAATCTGAATCTTTACACTTGGGGGTGTGCCTGAATATATAGCACCGAATATTGATTCACATGAATTTTTCTGCCTCGATTTGACCAAATTTTGGGTTTCCGATTTTAGATTTATTCATGTACCTTATACTTTAATGTATGTTAGCACATGAGTCCGAAAGTCATTCGTCATGTAATTATGAGGCCAAAAGTTTCTATGGATGAAAGCCATTATTTGATTTAAAGTAACTTTTGGCATCACAATCTTTAGATTTTTTTAATAGTCACTTCACAATTAATAATACAATTATGACTTTTTCTTGTAGGTTTATTTCTCTTATTTGTTATTAAAATAACTGCTGTTAAGTTAATTTTAACATGGGTTGTAAGTTTGAAAGTTGTTCTCTACGATTCTGTGAGGCCAAAGTCTACAAAAGATGAAAATAATTTTAGGTTAGATAGTTCAACATTCCTCCAATGATTTATTTTTATTTATACTATTTTCGTGTGGTATAGCAAGAATAATGGTCAAAAATCAAGTATTTTAGGATCAAAAAACGGCAGATCAAATTCCTGATAATATTAACACTAATAAGTCTAAAAATTTAACCAAATATTGACTTTTTTAAAGTGTCATTGGTTTACTGACGAGGCGGCTGAGGAAGGAGATGAACCCTGAAACTGGTATCACCAAAATAGTATAAATAAAAATAAATAATTGGTTGATTGGAGAACTACATAACCCAACGTTATACCCACGCTAATATGGAAACAAACATATCAAAATAATTGGCTCATTAATAGCAACTTTGGACCTGTCGTCCTTTATATTTGGCTAAGTAGCAAGTATTTAAAAAATGTAAATTATCACTTTAACTTTGAATAAAAAATATTTTAATGAATGCGTCTACAGATACTTCTACCATCCACAGTCTAATTTTGTTTTAACTCCATACAAAATGTTTCGTATTATGGAAAAAATCTGAATCTTTACACTTGGTGGTGTGCCTGAATATATAGCACCGAATATTGATTCACATGAATTTTACTGCCTCGATTTGACCAAATTTTGGGTTTCCGATTTTAGATTTATTCATGTACCTTGTACTTTAATGTATGTTAGCACATGTGTCCGAAAGTTATTCGTCATGTAATTATGAGGCCAAAAGTTTCTATGGATGAAAGCCATTATTTGATTTGAAGTAACTTTTGGCATCACAATCTTTAGATTTTTTTAATAGTTACTTCATAATTAATAACACAATTATGACTTTTTCTTGTAGGTTTATTTCTCTTATTTGTTATTAAAATAACTGCTGTTAAGTTAATTTTAGCTTGGGTTGTAAGTTTGAAAGTTGTTTTCTACGATTCTGTGAGGCCAAAGTCTACAAAAGATGAAAATAATTTTAGGTTAGATAGTTCAACACTCTGCCAATTATTTATTTTTATTTATACTATTTTCGTGTGGTTTAGCAAGAATAATGGTCAACAATCAAGTATTTTAGGCTCAAAAAACGGCAGATCAAATTCCTGATAATATTAACACTAATAAGTCTAAAAATTTAACCAAAAATTGACTTTTTTAAAGTGTCATAGGTTTACTGACGAGGTGGCTGAGGAAGGGGATGAACCCTGAAACTGGTATCACCAAAATAGTATAAATAAAAATAAATAATTGGTTGATTGCAGAACTACCTAACCCAAATTTA